CTTCACTGGATGCTTCTCAAGGACAAGATACATGTGCGACTTTCTCACCGTCTGAAGGTTCTTCCGCGAGTTCGTCTTCATCAAGGGATTCGGCAAGCGTGTTCAACGAGGAGGCTTTGGACCCGCTCACGCCCGAGGACTTCGCTTGGATTCCTCTCCCTACGACGGGCAACCTTCCGGGGCCGCAAAGCGCAGCCCTATGCGCCCTCTTACACCAGTATCTTTCCTTCCATGCACCACCAACTTCGCCGACGGTAGACGAAGTCGCGGTGGGGGACATGCTTGGCTACGTTCCCAAGGCGGCCCGCGAGTTTGTCTCGCAACGGTACGAAGAAACCAACGCACCGTTGCTCTACGTTCGCATTCAGATTGGGCAAGCGTCCTGCAACACTTTGCTAGATTGCGGCGCAACTCGCAACTTCATCAGCCAGTCCTTCATGACTCGGGCTGGCCTTGGCACACAAGTACGGAGGAAGTCGCATCCGACGACAGTCCCTCTTGCCGACGGTAAGATGAAACAACTTTTAGACCGTTACATCTCGGCTGTCCCGGTGTACTTTGCACTGCACGCATGTGAACCCGTCACTTTTAATGTGTTGGACACCGACTTCGATGTCATGTTGGGGATGCCTTGGCTTTCTAGCGCGGACCACACGGTCAATTTCGATCGACGCACGCTTATGATTTGTGATGCAACTGGCGCCGAGGTCCCATGTACTATTCCTTCTCCTCGCTCTTCCATTAGGTGCCAAGTCGTGAGTGCCAAATCTTTTCGAGACACATGCCGTTCCGAGCATGTCGAAGAGATTGGCATCGCTTTGCTTCGAACCGTCCCGACGACCGATTCATCGTCCACAGAAGTGTTTTCCAACCCCCGTGTGACCCGGTTGTTAGACGAGTTCTCGGATGTTTTTGAGACACCCTCCGATATAGTGCCGAACCGGCCAATCTCTCACTAGATCTTACTTGAGGCCGGCGTTGTGCCACCGAAAGGATGCATTTATCGCATGTCCGAGGAGGAGCTCACGGTTCTTCGTGCGCAACTCGACGATCTACTCGACAAGGGTTTGATCCGTCCTAGCAGCTCACCTTGCGGTGCGCCCGTTCTCTTCGTTCGGAAGAAGAACGAGGACCTTCGACTTTGCATTGACTACCGACGCCTCAACGCGCAAACCATCAAGAACGCGGGGCCTCTACCTCGCATTGACGATTTGCTTGAGCGGTTGGGCGGCGCSAAGTACTTTTTGAAGTTGGACCTCAAGTCGGGCTACCATTAGATTTCCATCCGCCTGCAAGATCGGTACAAAACCGCGTTTAAGACGCGATATGGGCATTTTGAGTGGGTAGTTATGCCTTTTKGCCTCACGAATGCCCCGGCCACCTTTCAGGCGGCCATGACCACCGAGTTTCGCGCTATGTTGGACCGCTTCGTTTTGGTCTACTTAGACGACATCCTCGTCTATAGCCGAACTCCAGAGGAGCATCTCGAGCACCTTCGCCGTGTTCTAGAGACTCTTCGGTCAGCCCGGTACAAAGCTAACCGCGACAAATGCGAGTTCGTCCGGCAAGAGCTTGAATACTTGGGTCATTTTGTCTTTCCGGAAGGCATTCGTTCGTTGGTGGACAAGATTCAAGCCATCCAGGAGTGGCCCGAGCCGAAGAATGTGACTGACGTCCGATCCTTCCTCGRCTTGGCTGGTTATTATCAGCGCTTCATCAAGGGTTACTCGAAGATCGCGGCCAACCTAAGCAAGTTACAAAGTGAGGAGCGACCTTTTGACTTCGACGACGACGTGCACCATTCTTTTGAGACACTCAAAGCGGCACTCTTGTCCGCCGAGGTGTTACATATTTACGACCCGCTTCTAGCTACGCGTGTCATTACCGATGCGTCGGGCTATGGCATTGGGGTCGTCCTTGAGCAGCACGATGGCACGGACTGGCACCCGGTCGAGTACTTTAGCAAGAAAGTACCTCCGGTGCATTCGATCGACGACGCACGGAAGAAGGAGCTTCTTGCCTTCGTCCACCCTCAAGCGTTGGCGACATTTCCTCCTTGGTCGGAAAGCATTCCGATGGGTAACGGATAACAATCGTTGGTATTCTACAAGTCGCAAGACACGATTAACAGTACCATTGCCCGTTGGATGGCTTTCATCGACCAGTTTGACTTTTTCCCCAATCACATTCCCGGGAAGTCAAACCGTTTTGCGGACGCCCTCTCACGGCGACCGGATCTTTGCACCGCAGTCTACTCTACCTTCGAGATCAACGAAGACTTGCGGGAGAGCTTCATCCGCGGCTATCAAGCCGACCCCCACTTTCGCGACAAGTACGCGAATTGCTCCTCTCCGAAGCCAGTGCCTTCACATTATCGGATCCAAGAGGGCTACTTACTTGTGCATTCACGGGGTAAGGATCTTCTTTGTGTGCCGAATGATTCACACTTGCGCACACGGCTTCTTGGCGAGTTTCACGATGCGCCCGCCTCCGGACATTTTGGTGTCAACCGTACACTTGGCCRACTTCGCCAGCGGTTCTATTGGCCCGACCTTCTCAAGGACGCCACCCGCTGTTGTGAGTCGTGCGAAGTCTGTCGGCGTTGCAAGTCACGCAACCATCGTCCGTTCGGCGAGCTACACCCATTACCAGTGCCCCTTGGGCGACGGGAAGCAATTGCTATGGATATCACCGGTCCCTTCCCGAAGCACAAGACCKGCGTTGATGGGATCCTCACGGTCGTCGACCGCCTCACCAAGTACGCCATGTTTTTGCCTTGCCGCTATCACACAAAGGCACCGGAGTTAGCCAAGGTCTTATACACCGGTTGGATTCGCTCCAAGGGCTACCCCAAGGAGATCGTTTGCGACCGGGGCACTCGCTTTCTCTCCGACTTTTGGGTCGCCCTTGTCAAGCGATGGGGCTCATCCTTGAAGTCGAGTTCGGCTCGCCACCCACAAACCGATGGTCAAACGGAAAGGGYGCATCAGACCGCTCAAGTCCTTCTCCGCACTCTCATCCGTCCCGACCAGGTTGATTGGGTTGAATGCTTGCCAGACGTTGAGTTGGCTTACAACTCATCGATCCACCCGGCTATCGGGATGTCGCCGTTCGAGTTTGAGCATGGTTCACCCATCTCATCGCNCGGGCACAGCAGTGCATGACACTGCTCACTCGATCACAGATCAAGGCCATGGACCGGAAGGCGGGAGAATCCCTCCTAGCCTATGAGGAACGCCTGGCGGCATTCATTCAGGAGGCCAACGATAGGGTCGCCGTCGCTGCCAAGGAACGTAATCGGCTCGAACAAGAAGAGGAGGTCAAGCGACAGAAGGAGGAACAGGACCGACTTCGTCAAGAAGAGGCAGACCTGCAGGCGGCAGCCGAACACCGGTCACGCCAGCGGGAACGACTTTTCACGCGGGAGACCGTGATCGGCGATGAGGCCGCACATTGGGTGGAAATGACATCTGCAGACGGGGCCCCGAAGACTGAGAAAGGGTTGTCAGCCCTTGCGCAGGTCTCCCACGACCTCGTGGCCACTTGCGCTCTGCAGCAGGAGGAAATCCTTCACCTGCAGCAAACAGTGGACCAGTTGATCGCACGGCTGCAGGCGTTGGAGAAACAGCTAGCTGCTGTAGCAGCCGCAGGGCCTTCCACCCTTACCACCCGTGTGCAAGTTTTGGAGGATGACGTCAGCAACATCAAGCGTGTGCATCAGGACTTCCGAACGTCGCAGCAAGCAACGAACTTGCAGTTGGAGACGCAGGTCCAAGCTGCTGCCACCGTAACGCCCGCCACCGCATCCTCCCGGCGCCCACCCAAGCTGGATGACATTCCTGTCTTCTGCGATCAGTCCAAGACGGAACCGATCCCGTGGTGGCGTCAGTTTACTCTCAGGCTCGGCATGCACTATGTCCCGAACAACGATCGACATCCGTGCTTGTACCACCGATCTGGTGGTGCGTGTCAAGAATGGCTGGACAACATCTTGACCAGCCACGGCGTAGCAGTGTCGGAACTGCACACCAAGCTCACTTGGCAGGAGTTGACCGACGCCTGGCACAAGCGATTCCAAGTGGAGCCGCCTGACCTGCAAGCGATGGACAAGCTCAACAAGCTCCATCAGAACACGCTGCTCAGTCAGGACTGGATTACCGAGTTCCAAACACTCGCCTCCACACCTGACCTGCTGCTCGCATTCCGCGCCATCAAGCACTTGTTTATCATGCGCTCGTGTCCAGCTCTGCAAAACGCGCTGACGCAGATTGCAGAGACACTCGACACATCTGACAAGCTTTTCAGCACAGCGTCATGGATCATTCTCACAAATATCGAAGCCCGCAACGCCGGCCGATCTTCCGCGACGACAAGCGGCACCCAGCCTAAGCCAAAGGTGGCTTGCATTACTTCTACCGAGGCTGCAACACCAAACGAGGGTGAAGTGTTGGCAGCTGCCCGGGATGGTGGCCGGCCGCGCAACAACCACGGCCGCGACAAGACGAAGACTCAGTCCACCTCTACACCGAGCACCGGATCAGCCGCCGACAAACCTTGGGCACAATACGGACTCTCGGCGAATTCTTATCACACGAGACTTAAGTACCGTTACTGCCTTTGGTGCAACAGCACCATCCACGATGCTGCACATTGCCCCACCAAAGGGAAACCCCGTCAGGGAAAGTAGGCGCCGCCGAGGGTGACTCGACACCTCCCTCGACGCCATCGGAAGCGGTTGTGCGCACGAGCGCCCTTTCTTCCGAGGAATATGCAGATGTCGGGATTCTTCCACTTTCGTTCGAAGACTTCGCTGCCCGGCTCGTCCCTTCACTGGATGCTTCTCAAGGACAAGATACATGTGCG